TTGAAGTTCTTCGAAGATCGGAAAAACCGTTGGCACAAGTGTGTAATATCTCATGGGGATTACTTTGAAGGGGACAAAATAGGTATTCATGAATAAATAAATAATTTTTGAAAAACACAAAAGTCGCGATACTTTTTGAACACACCTCGTATATATATATAGCAAATATTCAAAGTGAGATAATGTAAAGAAAACTATATATAGGAATAGAATAATAGTTAGAAGCAATACTCATCGGGAGACGAAGTTTACTGCGTCCGTTCTGGTTAGCCACCTGGCGGAGAATCCCATAAGACCAAATCCAAATTAATAAATTGTGTGTTACCATAATCGAATTGTTACCAATATCATACAAAATTACTTAATCTTGATGGATTTATCAACAATTTATATTTATCCCGCGTGTACCCTTCACTTTGTACGAACTCTACACGTGACGGGTTTATGTGGTGTGTGCGTAACCCGAACTCCTGGAGCGCACGAGAGTCGCCAAATGACAAAAAAAAGCACCTAGTTTCGAACCCATGCTTCCGTAATACGAAGTGCACGTAGTAACAAGTGATACAACCGCGCTACGATTTATGCGAAAGGAGCATTCTTTTAAATAGTTGGTGCTGTAACAATTCTCTATAAAGAAGATAAATGTGATAAGAAAAATTAATAAATAAATATCTTAGAACCCTAAAATACTATTTTAAGAATTATAAGCTTTGTATGATGATGGGAACCGGGTTTTTGCCAAAATGTCACAAACAATTGGATGTGGTCTTGTTAATTTATGGTACTAATCTATAATTTAAATTGTATCTTATCATATCATATTTTCCTCAGATTGAAAGACAAAAATATATTTCAGTATGCTATTGAAATATTATATATTATCACGTATGAAATAAATTTCAAAAAATAGTGTATCACGTTTCCCGCCATAGGGTAGAGAAGCTTTGTGGCTACAGGTCGCAGTGGTCGGGCAGGTTCGACAGTGATGAGAGAAGCGTGGACGCGGGCGCCGCTTGGAGGCGCTGCATGGAGATAACTGACCAAAGGGAACGGCCCACCTCAACCGTCAGTCTTCTTCCTTGTATATACCTCAAGACTGCTTTTGTTCTACTGCTGTGTGCGGTTGTTATTCTTTTGTCAACATATGTATCTATGAATCTAATAATAATCATATATTTATAAAATCACTTATTTGCCTGTTCTTTTTGTAACACCGACCCACAACATGGTAGCAGAGCGTGGTTAGCTGCATAAAAAGAACGAAAAGTAAGTGAAACCAAGATGGTGTCGTCTTCCCAAGCGCTTGCCCTGAACATCGAGAAGCTCACCGGCAGCAATTATCGATCATGGAAGTTTAACATGAAGATGCTTCTGATCGAAAGAGAATTATGGAAATGTGTAATTAACGAAGAAACGATCGACGCTGATGAGGATCAAATAAAATATGAGAAGACAAAAATTGAACAAGAAAAGGCACTGGCAACGATTGCTCTATCAATTTCTACAGAGCAACAAATACACATTATCGACTGTAAGACTGCAAGAGAAGCCTGGACGACCCTGGAACAAATATTTGAACCGAAATCAAGGGCGCGAATTCTTTTACTCAAGAAACAATTCGTGAACATCAAGTTCATCGAAGAAGAAAATATGGTAAATTATCTAACAAGATTGAAGACCTGCAGTGATCATCTCAGAGAAGCGGGATGTGAAGTAAAGGATGAAGATCTGGCATACTCTATGCTAGCTGGACTACCAGACTCCTATGATGGGATTATAATGAACTTTGGAAACATGACGGATGATGAGTTCACGTCATCCTAGGTAAAGCAGGTCCTGCTAACGGAACACGAGAGGAGAACAACCAGAAAATAGGATTCATCCAAGGAGGTGCTACAAGCGAACAAATATCAAAATAACAGAAGCACCAACAGTGGAAGAAAATGCCACCGATGCGGGAAGATCGGCCACATCGCCGCCAAATGCCGAGGAATGAAGCAAACAACTACTGGGAACCGCGATAATCAGCATTATAAGAGGAAGGTAAACAGATCAGATAAATTCCTGGCTGCACTCAACCTAACGAGCGACGAGGATTCGTGGCTACTGGACAGCGGAGCAACAAACCATGTGTGCAGAAAAAAAGACTGGTTCGTTGACCTTCGGGAGGTGTCATCTGATCCTATCATGACTGCTAGTGGGACAACTGAGGCCAAAGGATATGGACACATATTTCTCCAGACGTCTATCCATAATGAAAGCATCGAAATCAAGCTAAACAATGTGCTATACGTCCCAAATGTGCGAAGGAATCTGCTGTCAGTCTCCAAGATAGAAGAAAACGGCAACCGTGTGACCTTCCGTAATATGGTAGCTCGCGTTTTCAACCCAGAAAACAGGATTATAGCGGAAGCGACAAATTTAAATGGCCTCTACATTGTGAAAGGTAAGACCTTAAGCTCTAGGAAAACAGCATTTAATATTGAAAGGGACCATTTTCAGAATAATTCCTTGAGAATGTGGCATCAATGGTTATGCCATATTGACAGTAACGCCATTGAAAAGATGGCGCGGGAGGAGCTGGTAATAGGTTTAGAAATTTCCTCTAGAGACAAAGGCCTATGCGACGATTGTTGTATCGCCAAATCCACTAAAGCGTCACATAAAAACCTAGGCAATATTAGATCAAAACGGACCTTGGAGCTTATCCACACAGATATATGCGGTCCAATGCCGGAAAAATCAACCGGAGGCAATAGATACTTTCTATCTTTTGCATGAACGCACGAACGTGTATTTTCCGCAAATGAACGGTGTGGCAAAACGCGTAAATCGAACACTTTTTGACATGGCCCGCGCTTGTTTACATAGCGCTAATCTCCCCCAAAGATTTTGGGCAGAGGCGGTAAACACAGCTGCTTACATTAAAAACAAATGATATAATAGTGCTCTAAAAGACAAAGTACCTGATGGACTTTGGTTGGAAAGAAATCTTAGTGTGAGACACCTAAAAGCATTTGTATGTTCTGCATATAGCCATATACCAAGAGAAAGAAGGCGAAAATTAGACCATCGGGCATGTAGATGTATTCTGGTAGGATACTCCACTCAAACACGTGGATATCGTCTCTGGTCCTCAGAATCACAAAAGGTGATTGAAACAAAACATGTTAGATTCGATGAGTCTAAAATTGGACTAAAGTGGACCAAAATAGTCGAAGAGACAGAACCGGAAAGGTACAACCACGTTTGGCTAGAACCTGAGACTAATGATGATAACGACCTAGAGAATGAATTACCGAGTAATTCGGATTCAGTGGGGGTAGAGGACGCTCTGCCACAACCCTCCAGCTCCAAAAGCGTTGTTAGAAATCCATATGGGAGGAAAGGTAAACCAAGAGTAGAGTTAAATCTTTTAGATGTTACCGAGCCGCAAAGTTTTGAAGAGGCAGTCCAATCTCCCGAAGCTGTGTATTGTAGAAAAGCAATGGACGATGAGCTTAGAGTGCTTCAGGAACGAGGCACTTGGGAGTTATCAACATTACCGCCGGGAAAGAAACCGATTAGCAGCATATGGGTGTATAAGGTGAAGACAAATGAGAGCGGAAATGTAGAGCGTTTCAAAGCACGTTCAGTAGCTAGAGGTTTCTCACAGAAACAAGGAATCGATTTTCAGGAAACTTATGCACCTGTTATTAACTTAGCTGTAATCAGAGTTTTGATAACGTTAAGTTTGAACATGAAATGGTACAATAGACATCTCGACGTAGATAACACTTAGCTATATGGCGACTTAGAAGAAGAGATATACATGCTTTTGCCAGAAGGAGTCGAGAGGAAAGATAACGAGGTTTACAAACTGCTTCGACCTATTTACGGCTTACGACAATCAGGACGGAATTGGAATTTAACACTCCATCATGCTTTACAAGAGATGGGATTTACACGACTAGAATCCAGTAATTGTATTCATACTTATCTAGATAAGGTAATTATTGCAGTTTATATAGATGACTTGGCCTTATTTGGTGAGAGTAAAGAGATTTTGCGGAATATAGAACAGAAAATTAATGAAAGGTTCAGAGTTAAAAATTTGGGAGCGATCAGGAATTTCTTGGGGGTTCAGATTGACTATCCAGATGAGGAGACTGTAGTACTATCTCAAGTACGTTTGTTAAATCAATCTTACGAAGATTCAACATGATTGGATGTCGACCGGTATCCACACCGCTAGACATTAGTTTTCCAATCTCAAAAAGAGATTGCCCCACAGATGAAGAAGAGAAAGAGAGGATGAAAGCTATTCCATATAGGGAACGAATCGGGTCGCTCCTTTATCTTGCGAATCGTACTAGGCCAGACATAATGTTTTCTGTTACGAGATTAGCTCAATTCGCCAGCAACCCTGGACGTCGACATTGACAAATAAATAAATATAATTTAAATTAATATTTTAAAAATATATGGAAAATTTAAGATTAGATATCATTGTGAAAAAAAATATATACGCATCGACACCATGGTACAACAATTTCGGCGCGATAATTCTTTTAATATATATCTCTTGCGAACTTTCGAATGATTCCCTTTATGAAGCCAAGTGAAAAAACAATATTGCCAAGTGGAAAATTTGAAAAGACAAACTTCAGTATTACACAGCATTTTATTTGAGGCAAGAACAAACTATGAATGATAAAAAAAAGAGCAATGAGGTAGGTTTACAGTGTAGCAAAATATAAACATCAAAAATGATACTTTGTTAATAAAATAATAAATACTTTTCTACAATATGATGACTTGAAATCTTTTATGTGATATACAAATTGATTATTTTGCTTAGTAAAGGGAATCTTCCGAAAGCTTGGGAAATAAAAATGATATACACTATCCTCTATATATTATAATACAATTTTCTCTGAGTATTGTAGTGTATCGATGAAAATATTTTCGTAGATGATCTTTAAATTATTAAAATATACAAGTATCAGAGTCATCAATCAACAATTCTGTCACCGTAGAATGCTCGCCTGCCACGCGGGCGCCCCGGGTTCGATTCCCGGCCGAAGCATTTTTTTTTTACAATTTTTAAAACTCATTTATATTATTAAAATATATGTGCTTTTCCTGTCTATGTACATAAGTATACAAGTATGTATACAAGTTATTTGCAAATTGCGTTGCAAATTTGCCCTTTCGCTCGCAAGCAGCGCCTCTAGCGGTGAAGATGGGAGGTAATACAGCTGACCTAATGGACATGTAAAACGTGTTTTAACAGAACATAGAGAATAATAAATTGACAGGTTCAGGGAAAAAATAGTTGTTTTTTATTCAGAAAATGATGATGACAATATTGCTGTATCATATTTGATTATCAGGTACAAAATTATATCCGGAAAAATTCCAAAAAGCAGAGACCACGGATGAAGCCAGTTTATTTTTAGTATGCAGGAACAAAATTCTAACAGAAAAACATTCATTCAAGCAGAAGACACAAAGCCAGATCATCTCTTTATAAAAATATCGCTTCTCAGACACAAAGTTTGGAGCGGGACGTTTCACAAGAATGACATCCACGGCGCCAATTTATAATTGTAACGAATAGTATTTGAATAAAAGCATTTAATCAGGTAAAACCCGGGCGTTGCCCGGGTCATTCGGCTAGTAATATATAACCATTAAAATATATTAGCCTATATTTTTATCTATATTTCTGTCATATAATTGTCTTAGACACTCTGGCTACTTTGGCCATATCGGAAAAGTCCACAAATACCTTGTGGCTATCATATAATTAAAGCAGCCTTAGACTTCGATTACCATGCAACCATGGTGTTCAGATAGGTATTCTCAATTTTCCAAAGCTGATGGCTTTGTCACTTACCCGAGACTTCCAGAGATGGTCAATAGATGACGTAAAGGCTTGGAGAAGAACTACCGCTCGAAAACGTGCCGAATATTTAAAAAAGAAAAACATTACAATTAGTGGTTTACTTTCATTCCGTATTTCCAAGTATAGCTTTAGATAAGGAATATAGATGACTAAGGTTTTTCTCGCCTATTTTGACGGGAGATATGTTACCTCTTAATACGGGTTTATAGATCAAATTATATAAAAACATCTATTCTTGTTATCAAAAATTATTTACTGAGTCCTATGTACGGTATACTATTTATTTATACTTTAATCAACAAGGCGCGATATTGAAGTATTTGTGCCTATTACAGAGAAAACAAACAAAACAAGAAGAAATTTGGAACTCAGGATTATTATTATATACTCATACTATCCTTATATATAGTCACGACCGTCTTTCCTCATCGGCCTCTGTCACGGATGCGCGCGCACATGGAGGTCACGTGCTCGCCGGCTCCCTCGAGCCGGATTTGAACCAGCGACCTAAGGATCACCGTTGTAACATCTACAGTCGGGTAAAACACGGGCGTTGCCCGGGTCATTGGGCTAGTATATTATATACTCAGGATTATTATTATATACTCATACTATATATTATATACTCAGGATTATTGTTTTCTCGTATATACGAATTTACATGTATTAATCGACAGAGTTCATAAAATTTATATAAACAAAGTGGCTTATATGTAAGAGAGATAATCATTTATACCTGGGAAAAATCGATGTCTCACTTCTGCAAAGGTGGAGAGCATTTTTTTTTTTGTTTCTCCGTAGGAACAATTTGCAGTTTCCAATAGAACCCTTTTATGTAAGTAGCGCTAGGATTTTCCTTGTGATGTGACAAAATGAGCGCCTATAAAATTTGGAACTCTGTATAGAAATGCCGTTTATGAAAATAGTCCGAATTGTAAGGTTAGTGTTATAAATGGATTAATTCAAATGATTCATAATAATAGATTTTTCTTTGCCAATTATTGTTTTAAATATTTCTCATGGTAAATTTCGTTTTTCAGTTTATATCTTATATTAATTTATATTAAAATATAATATACCCTGACCGCGTTCACATCAACATTTCTATATGGCAGAGCGCCATCTAGTGGAACAAAAATAAACTAAACGTTTATTCAAATTGTTTCGTGATAGTTAGCCAACTCTATTTTTTGATAAATCAAGAAAAGTCAACCACGAACGCGTTTCGGGCTGTTGGCCCTCGTCAGCGTGGTGCAGACTGTACCTCTACGACCAAAATTGGTCCAGGAGGCTTCCTGAGAAATCAAGAATTGGGTATTTAAGGTCAAGTTTGCGTAAATACGCTTTTCATGTGAAAAAAATAATAAAAATATTTAAAATGTCAGCTGTTTTTTTATTTTTATTTTTAGATTATTTTTTTTTTCACATTGATTTATATTTGAAACTAGCGGACGTACCCGGCTTTGCCCGGGTTTTACCCGAGTAAAAGTTTGTCTAACGAATCTCTCGATAAAGTGAACATTTTTTTCCCGGTCCCTTGAAAAATACTCGATAAGTTGAATAAAATCAATATTAATTGGTTCCCTCGGTAATTGGAAGTTAAAGGAATAGTATCTTGCCTTTGAATTGTATCATTATTCTTGTCTCAAATAAATTGCCGTGTCATCCTGAATTTTGTCTTTCCTAATTTTCTACATTACAAAATCATCGTATCATCATGATAATATTTAGAGCAGATTGTTGAATTATAACAGATAAATTAGAATATTTATCTTGATTATTTCTAGACGAAAAGTTATTTCAAAAATTTTATTTGCTAGAAACCTTCCCAGTACTATACTAAATAACTTCCCAAAGTTTCATGGCGATCCAATGAGTGGTTTGGTCAGGCATAAAGGACAAACAAACAGACACACATACATTCATTTATATATATATAGATAGTCTTTTATGAAAGGTGTGTATGCTAAAGAAGGTGTGAGCATGCATTCGTATGATATGGTTCCATGTACCACTGAGATATTATGTTGCCAGTAAAGGAAGTTTGTGCAAAGCACGTATAAAAATATATGAATACCATATTTCGCTAGCATAAGTGGCTCTCGATCAAATGATATATTTAAAGATATGTACGGTATATAGTTGATATTATTTTTCTATCGCTATATATCTACTTGTGGTGTCCCAAAAGTCTGTATAGTCAACATTTCCAGAACCCCTATATTTTATACGATAAAGCCTTCAATAAATGTTTCAAAAAGACTTCAAATTCATTGACTTGTAGACCAATTTATTTATTTATTTAAATTAATGGTGACTAAGCAATTTCCCCCTACAATCTGTATATATGTATTAATGAAGGATAACATAGGCTATTTTTCGTTTTCTCTTTTAACTTTTAAAACGTGGCTAAAGTATGCCTGATATTATTATATTACTTTATTTATTTATTTTTACTTAATTTATTATAATTTTATTATTATATATTTTTATTTCCAAGATCATAGTCTTTGACGAGTTTAATATTTGTTTTTGACTCGCGCTTTAGATGTTGTACTAAATTCGAAGAATCACGTGAGAACGCCCTTGCAAATCTCAGAACAATTTTTAATGCCTTGCCAAATGTTTATTTTTATTTACTTCTCCTGACGAAGACAAAAGATTTTGTCGAAACGTTGAGAAAATAAAAAACTCCAACTGGCCGAAGTGTCTATTTTTTATATAAAAATCTGTATATAGTTCATGCGTGGTTTGATTAGAGGACGTAGGGAAGGCACTTGATGAAGACGCCCTCGTACCATCCTTATGGATGAACTGAAGGGAGAAACCAAGATGTCTAACCACCAGTTGATTACTATGGATCGATCACGTTGGAGGAATCTGGTTGAGGAGGCTGTATACTATTCTTAGGACTGATTCACCTAAAATACATAATTATATGAAATTCGTGTTTTTGAACACATAGAGAGGACGAATTGCTACAACATATTACATAACATAACAACTATCAACGGGTTAATCTCTCTTAATATTTTTCCTCTAAAAATGGGGCGCAAAAATACTTGAATAATTGGCGTTCCAATAACGCTCATGATCTACTCAATATTGATGGATGTATTTGTTTGTTGTTGGCTTGTCTTTTAGGGTAAGAGATATCTGTTAAGTTAAACTGTGGATACCATTTTTACAATTTAAAATTCTTTCCAATCAAAATAAACGATCGGCTTATTGGCTTAAACATGATGTGTTAGTTCAAAATTTCAATAAAATGGATCAAACATGATGTGTTTTTTTTCATATTTCCATTACAATGGTTGTATCTGAAAGAAACCTTATCTTCTTCCTTCCTGGCCGTGTAAGATTACCACTATCGTTGAAAACTCTCGTGGTTTGTTCAGGAACCGGGAAGGCTACCATAAACTTTATCAAAAGGTATCCTCTTTCTTTAAGTGACAGTAATCGCTATGACACCAACCCACAGTTAAACTCAAAGTTATCCAACTTTTATTCTATCAAAAACTTTTTTCTAACTCAACTTTCTTCCTTTTTCATTTATCGCTGATATATATGTATATATTTATATGAAAATTCGGAACTATTATAGACGCGTAAGATTATTTTCAAAAATTAAACAATTTCTATTACCCTTACTGCAATGGAAAAATTATTGGGAGATCTTGGCTCATCAGTGGTGAACCCTCCCAGCGGTTTCGCCAGTTTAATCTGCCATAGATTAAACAGGCAAAACCGCTGAAAGGGTTCAGATTGTGCAGCCCAGGACAGTCATAGACTCGGACGTCCAGGAGATTCCCAGAGGAGAGTACGTCCGGTACTTCCAGGAACCGCACCAGAGCCCGCAGCTCTTGCTGAAATTGAGAGCCACCCCGGAGGCCATGCGGAACTCTTCGAAGGTCAGGGGCACGAGCTCAAACTGAGCGTCGTCCCTGATGAATAGTACGATGTCATCCGCATAGGCGACCAGGCTAACGCGGCCCAAGATCCTCTAGAGGCGAGATAGCAGAGGTCCAACACCGATGCTAAAGAGTGCGGTGCTGAGAGGGAAGCTCTGCCTCACCCCGTTGAAAAGCGGAAGAGCCTTTGTGTAGACATCTCTGATCCAGATGGAGGCGTCTGCTTCCACTTAGAACATAGAAATACTTCCTGGAACGGCGTAGGTC